CATATTGTTTTGCGTATGCTCGTGTCGCTTACAGTTGAAGTCCTTCTCTGATTTTATTATTGTTTGCAAGGTTGCAATGTTAGTTTGCAATATTTTAAATATTTTTGGGGTATTCTGCATGGTCCGTTATTGGAGTAGTGTCACCCGGGTGGGAGTTTTAACTCCTATTCACTGGGAATAAAAAAAAAATCATATAGCTGATGCAGAGAGACATATAGACCGGGGGAACCCCCCGCATCTCCCCACCCTCTGATTATGTATCATAACGTAACTATGTGTAAACATTATTTGGCGGTTTTTACTTGGAAAACCAGCTATATTTTTCTTGCATTCAAATAACAATGGATAAACCTGAAACGATAGAAGGATTGGAGATGAATTTCATTTACAAATAAGGTAGGAAATGTGCATACCTTTAAATCGACCCCTGCCACGGTGTTTCTTATTTGTCATCTGTGATCCCTTTTGAGTGTCCTAAAAGCCGATGGGGGGTTATCACTCAGCATACCCGGTTAAAAAAAACGGGTATCACCGCTCGCCACTGCTATATACCATACAGTTAAATTTTTACCATGGTATGCTGCAAACTGCAAGCTGTGCTGAAGATACTTGTCAAAGTCAGGCAACACATCTGTTTCATGATTTGAAACAATATCACTCATTAGAACATGCAGAAACTAAGAAATACATTTTTCTATTAAGATATTTATTTTGTTTAGTGGTCGACCGATATATCGCCTCGGCCGATATTTGGATTTTTTTTTAAATATCGGCATCGGCCGATAAGTCTTTCCGTGTGGCCAATGTTTTTCCAAATGGATTATGACACCATATAGTGCATTTATGCTTCCTCTTTAAGATGAGCCACTCAGCTTGTCAGCTGAAGCCAGCACCTGACAGACAGTAAAATTACCAATCGCCATTTACTTTCTAACGTGACGCTATGTTGTGTTACATACAATAACACTCAGGCGTGCAGCAAAGTCTTATTCAAACGTATCGTGAGACATCAGGAATTCAAACAAAAATGAAACCTTGTTTACCTCACAATCAATCAAAAATCCCGCTCCAAAAATAGCTCCAAATTAATTAAAAACCACAAGTTTAGTGGTCGACCGATATATCGCCTCGGCCGATATTTGGATTTTTTTTTAAATATCGGCATCGGCCGATAAGTCTTTCCGTGTGGCCAATGTTTTTCCAAATGGATTATGACACCATATAGTGCATTTATGCTTCCTCTTTAAGATGAGCCACTCAGCTTGTCAGCTGAAGCCAGCACCTGACAGACAGTAAAATTACCAATCGCCATTTACTTTCTAACGTGACGCTATGTTGTGTTACATACAATAACACTCAGGCGTGCAGCAAAGTCTTATTCAAACGTATCGTGAGACATCAGGAATTCAAACAAAAATGAAACCTTGTTTACCTCACAATCAATCAAAAATCCCGCGACTGACTCTTCCTCAGATATGTGCGTTGTTCTCGGGTACATCTAAACAAGACGCTTTTCCGGTGGACTCAAAAGCCGGCGCACTCCAGAATGAAAGCTGGGTCAACACAAGCTTTCTTATTAGTACATAGTAACATTATTACTATGTTAAGTAATAATAATACATTTGAATTCCTTTACAGTAAAGTAAATTTCTATTTCAAATAAATGCTGTTCTTTTGAACTTTCTATTTATCAAAGAATCATGAAGGATAATGCATCACCGGTTCCACAAAAATATTATGCAGCACAACTGCATTAACAACACTAAGGGCACTTTCACACTAGCATGTTTGGTGTGCACCCGGTTTCGATTGACGTCAGAGTTCGGTACGTTTGGCTAGTGTGAAAGCTGTCATGCGAACACGGGTGCACACCGGGGTACCGAACCAGAGACTACCTGTCCTGAAGGAGGTGGTCTGAGTTCGATTGCACTCGAACTGTGGCACAGTTCGCATGAATATGAAAGCAACACAGACTCGGGTGCGCACTTGTTCAGGAAGTACCTGCACATGCGTTTTACCCGATTACAATATATTTTCTTCAATAAAACACATAAGTGATGATAGTGTTGCTGATTTACCTTGGATTCGAGTGAGAGTGAGCCTGCAGTATATTCGCGTGTAGCAACTGCAATCAGAGCGGCAAATGAATGGTAATCCGCTGTCTCCTCAAAATAGCCATCTACATGCGCCGCACATACAGTAAAACCCATATGTTGTTTACTCTGCTGTGCATAATAGCTCCAAATTAATTAAACGCTATGTTGTGTTACATACAATAACACTCAGGCGTGCAGCAAAGTCTTATTCAAACGTATCGTGAGACATCAGGAATTCAAACAAAAATGAAACCTTGTTTACCTCACAATCAATCAAAAATCCCGCTCCAAAAATAGCTCCAAATTAATTAAAAACCACAATATATTGACCCACGTTCCGTTTTCTATCATACGTTGTGCACGTTTGTGATGACGTAAGATCAGTGGTGTATAAAGTACCTGAAAGCCATACTCAAGTAAAAGTACAGATATCTTACCAGAAAATTACTTTGGTAGAAGTTGAAAGTCACCGTTTAGGATATTACTTGAGTAAAAGTCTTAAAGTATGTGATATTCTCGTCGCTCCGGCCTGACACGGCATCAACAGTATGTGAGGGGCTTAACATTTCCGTCTCACGCTTGAGGTATTCGGCCAATCACAACGCATTGGATAGCTGGCCAATCAGAGCACACCTCGCTTTTCAGACCGATTAGTTTTGTAAAAATCGACGCGTTTCAAAAAGGCGGGGCATAGAGGAGAAACAATAATGTACAGTATGTGGAAAATAATGTGTTTTTTGAACTTTAAACAGCATAAACACATTTCATTACACCAAATATACAAAATAATGTTCTTTTTAGCAGCATCATATGACCCCTTTAATAGCATGAAGAGCAAATATTGACATGGACTGAGATAGATTTAAACTGTCTTCGATACAGACACACTCCGTGCGTGTTATTGTTTTCATGTTTAAGATAGGAGCAAGAATGAAAATTTCCCTGAATATCCAAACGATAGCAAATGTGCCTTTAATTTTTTACAACAGTTCATCAAAAAAGGTAATATTAAGTGAACATTTTACATTTTAAATGTAGCCTACATTTTAAACAGAATATTGTCATGTTTGTTATATTTTGCAATGAAATAATAGTTCCAACAAAATCCGTATCATATGGTGTGCGTCTCCAAGCAACATACAACGGTGTTTCATTAGTGAATGAATCTGCGGCTTTGAACGATTTGGAGAGTCAGTGATTAATAACCCATTCATTACTACAGCATTTTGCTATGTTACTGAATGAATGACGCGACACCTGGCTCATTAAGACAGAAATGCCCCAGGGGGTACGCCACTGTAAAAAGTTTGAGAACCACTGGCCTAGTTGATAATGTCAGATCGCACATCATTACAACAACACTTAACATATCATCGCAGAAGATATACTGTATATCGCACACCCCAGACTCGACTTGAGTGGAAAATGAATCATCCGCGCTTGTGTTCGCACATGAGCAAAGGAGTTTTAAGGAGTCTAACTTCCAAACGCCAGACTCAGCTTGATTTCTGAGTGGACTTTGCTGTTTCGATGAGCATGAACGGTATACGAGTGGAGCACTCACATGGGCTGTGAGCGACTGAGTAGAGCACACACATCGTCTCGTTTTCGTCACGTGATAAAGGTTCGTTGACGACGATATTTAGTCATAATTTTCGTTGACGAAAGCAACACTAACTGTAACGAAGTATTATTACTTCGTTACATTACACCACTGTGTAAGATGACTGCAAACACACCGGGGTTCAACAGAATCAAGAGAGCGTGAAACCAGACCAACGCTGCGGGGGGTGCCAGGAACAACCGCACTCGGGTTCGAACCACAGCAAACGAGCCCAGTGTGAAAGCCACCTAATATGCATTAACATTAATAATATTAATTAAAGGCTGCTTGTCATACTCTGCGGTTGGCTTGTCAGTATCACGATATTACAATATTGCGGTTATCGTGACAGCCCTAACACTCACCCTTTGTAGAGCTACTTATAGCTGAGGTGAACTCTTTTCATAATAGATGAACTTCATTGAACTGAATCAACACTGAAGTGACTTGAGTTTAATGATGACATTATTATCTTCTGTAGAATTTGTCTCATTTGAAGTTTGCATCGTTGATTCTGTTATTTACCCGTTTATTACTGTGAAGCAGCTTTGAAACCATCTGTCCTTTACACTGCACTAAATAAAGTTGACTTCATAAAGTTTCTTCCTTACCTCAGCCTGATCCCTTTGACCTGGCTGTGCTTCCATGGCGAAATGAACCTGTAGCATGGTGCCCTCCTCTCCCCCTGCACTTTCATCTATGGCAACGACCCTGACAGCTCCCTCTTCACCCAGCTCTCCCTGACACTCAGTCTGCATGGGCTCTTCTCCCGCTGCTCCGGCCTCAGTGCTGGTCTGCTCCATGGCCTCCGCCTCTCCCGGGACCTCAGCCACTACCACAGATCCAGCCATGGACGAAATCTCCTACATTGTGGAAAAAACACAAACAGAACGTGAGGAGGATGACAAAACATCTTAATCTAGAGCATTTATTTGCACGTCTAAGAACAGAATTCAGGCATTTGTAAAAAATTGCAAGACTAGAAGCAAAAAGTGGCTTGCACTACAGCTTATTCTGGTTTAGATGTACCCAATTAGACAGGAAAGGACTGTGTATACATGTAAAACGACTTTACTAGTAACTTTGCGAGCAAAGTAGAATATGGTATTCCTGGTAACAGGTATGTTGTCCACAGGAAATTGCATAAATCCAGCCGATCAGTTTAGAGGTGTGTTTGTACCGGTACTGATGGTCCTGGAGTGGGCGTGGCCTGTGTTACTGTGGTGATGGCTCTGCTTTGTGTTGTGGGATTGGCTGGTTCTGTAGATGATGTGGGTTCTGAGCTGGTGCCACTGTCACTCTGCCCATCACCGGCCTGCTGGGCTAAAAGGACAAACACAGATGAGTTTAATTACTAGGGATGCACTGACACTGACAGAAAAATGACATTGGTAACTGACAGCCAATAATTATTGTTAAGCAGTTGACATGATGACCAACATTACAAATCTGTACAGTTTAGCACATTTTCTTTTTATAAAATGTTCACACTGGAGTGTTAATCTAAGTAAAATAGGCATTAAGACATTTTAATGTACAGTAGAAAAGATGGATAATCTATTTAGTTCTTCTGAGAGGGTGCAAATAGGGGGAGTAATTTAGCCCTGGTATTAACAGCTTGAAATGTCTGGCTAATCAGATCAAACCTGTTAATTAAGTTGGGGAGGACAAACAAACAAAAATACATTAAAAAAAAAGAAATGCACACAAAATAATACACCTTTGGTTACATATACTTTATACACAGATGAGTGACTTCATAGTAAAGGTCTACACGGGTCCAAAAATTCGTCCAAAAATTCAAAAATACCCGAACCCGAAGAGTCCCGTAAATGTGCTACACTGAACCGACCCGGACCAGTCTATTATTTTGAAAGTTGGACCCGGGCCCGTGCAGAACCGAGAAATGTCAAAAATGTACTACCCGGAACCGACGCGGACCGTCAGTTATTTGAAAGATGGACCCGAACCCGGCCAGGAAGACACAGACCCGACCGGCACATATTCCACAGCAAATTGCTATTCCACCTTATTTCAAATTACCGACTCACACTTTTCTCATCCTAATTTTACAAGTTGAAAATTACAAAACAGCACACGCACAGCGCTGACTCACTCTGATAACGGCCGGGTGTTCTCCGAGTCCGATCGACTCGGGTATTACACACAATGTTAAACAGACCCGGGACCCGAAGTAATAGATTGGGACCTGACCCGGACCTGGCTGACCATTTAAAATATAGCCCCGAACCCGTACGGATCCCGAGTCGGGTCCCGGGTCCTCCGTGTAGACCACTACTTCATAGTATAAAACATTAACATTTTAAAGATAAAAAAAAATATGCCCATGGAGCTAAAAATAAGACGCCTTCCCTTTTAAAGGCAAATAAAAAGAAAATAATATATTTATTATTACTATCATCATTATTATTAATACTAATACAATAATAATTTAATATTTAATAATAATAAACAAAGACTTCTCTTTTACAAGCAAAAAAAAAAAAATACAATTATTACTATTATTTAATAATAAAAATACTATATATACAGAATATATAACAGATGAAAACGAGTGGATTAAAAACCTTTGCTAATTGAAACAAAAAACAATTATGCATCCCTTTAAATTGATAATACATTTATATTTTAATATCTATTTAATATATTATTATAATGTGCATATTTACAGGTGCATCCCAATAAATTAGAATGTCATGGAAAAGTTCATTTCAGTAATTCAACTCAAATTGTGAAATTCGTGTATTAAATAAATTACAATTCATTAAAAATGTTTTTTTTTATTGGTCTTATGGAGTATTCTAATTTGTTGAGATAGTGAGTTGGTGGGTTTTTGTTAAATGTGAGCCAAAATCATCACAATTAAAAGAACCAAAGACTTAAACTACTTCAGTCTGTGTGCATTGAATTTATTTAATACACGAGTTTCACAATTTGAGTTGAATTACTGAAATAAATGAACTTTTCCACGACATTCTAATTTATTGAGATGCACCTGACTAGGGGTGGGACAATATATCGATATGGCGATTTATCGTTGTCCTTCTCCATGCGATACGAGAATCGATATCTGGCGCCAAATATCGATATTTTAATTATTACAATAAGGCGCTCTATATAGATTTCCCTGCTCCCAGCGTCTAAAAATGCGTGGAAATCGCGGTCGCGCCATTTCCACCTTCTTTCCAAACCGCTCTGACCAACCATGAACCGCGTTCTCTATGAAGATGGGGAAGCACGAGGAACCGAAGGATAAACTGATTTCCAGCCACTGTATTAGCTCTACTGCGGAGCCCCTAAAGGGACATGGTGGTGGGAAAAAATCAGATTGAGTGAAAAAGTTTGGGGTGGGAGGAAAAAATATATTTCTCAGATTTTTTGCATTCTCTCGCAAAACTTTTGCGTTCCCTCGAGAAACTTTTGCGTTCTCTCGCAAAACTTTTGCATTCCCTCGCGAAACATTTGCGTTCTCTCGCGAAACTTTTGCGTTCCCTCGAGAAACGTTTGCGTTCCCTCGAGAAACGTTTGCGTTCCCTCGCAAAGATATTTGCGTTCCTTCGCAAAACTTTTGCGTTCCCTTGATTAACTTTGCGTTCCCTCGAGAAACGTTTGCGTTCTCTCGCAAAGATATTTGCGTTCCTTCGCAAAACTTTTGCGTTCTCTCACAAAACGTTTGCGTTCCCTCGAGAAACTTTTGCGTTCTCTCGCAAAGATATTTGCGTTCCCTCGCAAAACATTTGCGTTCTCTCACAAAACTTTTGCGTTCCCTCGCAAAACTTTTCAGTTCCCTCGCAAAACTTTTCAGTTCCCTCACAAAACATTTGGGTTCTCGCAAAACTTTTGCGTTCTCTCGCAAAGATATTTGCGTTCCTTCGCAAAACTTTTGCGTTCCCTTGATTAGATATTTGCGTTCCTTCGCAAAACATTTGCGTTCTCACAAAACTTTTGCGTTCCCTCGATTAACTTTGCGTTCCCTCGAGAAACTTTTGCATTCTCTCGCAAAAATATTTGCGTTCCCTCGCAAAACATTTGGGTTCTCGCAAAACTTTTGCGTTCTCTCGCAAAACCAGTTGAGGTGATAAAAAAAAAGACCAAATATGCTATAGAACTTATTAAAAATATATTCTGTGTACATGCAAGCAGATGAGCCCATATGAGCTGAATTGCATGATAAGCGTTTTCTTCCCCATAGAAAACCACGCTTAACGTGGCTTAATATAAGACGACAGTGATATAAAAAGCCCAAATTTTATATTTTATTAGAAATATACTACAGGCAATCAACACAGTAATCCATTAAGCCAGTGGTTCTCAAACCGTTTACAATGGCGTACCCCCTAGGGCATTTAGCCTAACATTCTTCTGAGTGCGTTTTAAAGGAATAGTCTCTATTTTTATACAAAACCCCTACTTAGACCACAGACACACCTTTTCCATTAAGGGACAATATTTGCCCCCTTAAATTGATTTACATGTGCATTTTTACTGTTATAGAGGCAAAGTTTTTCTAGCCTTATTAATTGTATGTCATGTTTTATGTCATATTCTTCACATTTCATTAAGTGTATTATTAATATAATAAATAAAGTAATAAATGATGGCAAAACGTAGTTATACTTGTGGATTCAAAACTAAAATCGCCTGTAGGTGGCAGCAAGTCACTGTCTAATGAGCAAGGCGAAGCATTCATTCATTCAGTAACGAAGCAAATGGTTGTAGTTATGAAAGGGTTATTAATCAGTTCCGATTATCAGTACTCTCCGAATCATTCAAAGCTGCAGATTCATTCACCAACGATTTGGTTGGAACTATTATTTCCTTGTAAAATATAACAAACAATATTGACAATATTGTGTTTAAAATGTAGGCTACATTTAAAATGTAAAATGTACACTTAATATTGCCTTTTTTGTTGAACAATATTTGCCCCCTTAAATTGATTTACATGTGCATTTTTACTGTTATAGAGGCAAAGTTTTTCAAGCCTTATTAATTGTATGTCATGCAATGGTTGTAGTTATGAAAGGGTTATTAATCAGTTCCGATTATCAGTACTCTCCGAATCACTCAAAGCTGCAGATACATTCACTAACAAAACACTGCTGTTGCTTGGAGACGCACACCAGTTATGTTGCGGATTTCGTTGGAACTATTATTTCCTTGTAAAATATGACAAACAATATTGTGTTTAAAATGTAGGCTACATTTAAAATGTAAAATGTACACTTAATATTGCCTTTTTTGTTGAACTGTTATATAAAATCAATGTCACATTTGCAGTCTTTTGGATATTCAGAGAAAATTGCATTCTCGTAGGTTTCAGAGTGAAATAAGAACGTAACAGTGCTCGCTTTATAAAATTTCTAATAATCTTTTATATGATTGAATCTTATCTATAATTTTATATTTGAATTATGCCCTACGGTAAGTGACGGAGTATTTTATGTTTCAGCGATTTGATCGCACCGGCGCCTCATGTGCACATATTCATTGCAAACGGCCTGTTCATTATTAAAATAAAACATAGAATCACCAATACAGACAAAATGTTACAGTCAATTTAAATAATCTGTATTATAGTCTGTGCCGTACAGCGTGAGCCCCAGTCCACTCAAGTGTGGCAAATTTGTTCATTATGATTTTTTTTCCCTTCGATATTGGAACGTACAAAGCCCAGTTAATTTAATAAATAATAGTTAAGCTTCTAAATACATTGCGAATATGGAAACATTTGGATTTGTGCTGAATGAGAGCGGTACGTGAGCCCATACTTTCAGTTTCACTTTAAATTAGGGTTTGGCTCGTTTATAGCTATTCTGAGCTTGTCTGCTGTCCTGTGCATAATAGGCTATATTTTATTAATAAACTGTGTACCATATTTTGGTTTTAGCCTATACCGTCTTCGTCCATTAGCCTCCCTTAAGCGTTTTCTATAGCCTAGCGGTTTTAAATGGGGGAGAAACATGGCATTATGGCTATCGGCTTTACTGATAGTAATGCTATTAATAAGGTCATTAATATTACAATTGTTATTAGTATTAATAGTATTTATTAGGCCTAATACCGAATTGGGCCTCCAGTGTCACTGTTATAGTAGCCTACATTAAGCGTTTTAGAATGTCCCAAAACCGTGCCTTAAACTATAAGCAAAGATGACTGTATTTGAACTTGGGTCCAAATTTAAAATAAAACTCTATGAACTGCTCCATTATTAACGTACGAGCTGTATGAACCACTAACTTATAAGCTGTAAAGTAAACAGTGTTTGTCCGAACTCAACTGGTTTTGCGAGGGAACGCAAATATCTTTGTAAGAGAACGCAAAAGTTTTGCGAGGGAATGCAATGGACGTTTTCACTTAGGGGTGTACTCACTTTTTTGGCCAGCGGTTTAGACATTAATGGCTGTGTGTTGAGTTATTTTGAGGGGACAGCAAATTTACACTGTTATACAAGCTGTACACTCACTACTTTACATTGTAGCAAAGTGTCATTTCTTCAGTGTTGTCACATGAAAAGATATAATAAAATATTTACAAAAATGTGATGGGTGTACTCACTTCTGTGAGATACTGTATGTTTATGGAAATGAAAACTAAAAAACTGCCACGGAACAGCTATCAGCGTGGACCATAGGCACCGATCACGTTACTGCAGAGCGCATAATCAGTCCATGAGTAACCTAACCAATCCGCTCGGATCGCAGGTGGATTTTCCTCACTAACCTTAAGTGAGAGAGTGCCACCGGCGCGTCCAGTTTTATGTCAACAAAACTGGATGCTCTCCCTCTCTCTCAGATATTGCAAGTGCGCGTTATGCAGTGGGCACCGACTGGAAGAAGCATAAATCTGCACCTATGGCATGGGCGACGAAACAAAACCTCGTCAGAGCCGTAATGCGGCGCAGAAGTGTGCAGTGTGTGTGCTTGCCGCGCGTCTACATTTGAAATAACGAACCTGAGCGCGCAGAAGAGGCGATGTGAATGGCTATTTTTTCCCTGCATGTCATGTGTGTGGGGCTCCGTTTTTATGATGAGAGGAAAGGTTGAGAAAACACTCCAGGTAAATTTTGAAATGTACCAGGTTTATATATATAGGCTATATATAAAGTTGATAAGCAGTTAAATGTGTTGGTTTACACACAAAGAAAAGTGTAAGCTTTTAATAAGTCCAAGAATAAAATGATTAATTTACTTAGCATGTTAAATTTGATTTACAGAACTTTTGTGCTGTTTTCTAACAGTTTGGTCTTGTATAAAGAGAGAAAGCTTGCACGTAACCTTTTCACAGGCATTTTGTTTTCATAGTTACAGATATCGTGATGTATCGTTATAGGATTGTCTAGCAATATATTGATTATCGCAGAATCTATGTATCATGATATTATCATATCGTGAGCCATGTATCGTGATTCGTATCGTATGGTACCCTGCGATTCCCACCCCTAATATTTACACACAAATAATGTTCAGGTGTTGTGGAGATAAATACCTGTTCCTTCTCCAGTTTCTAAGCTGCTTGTAGCTGTGGTGGCTGTGTTGGTTGTGCCGGTCTCATGAGTTTCACAGGGTGGATTGGAACACACCCTCTGAACTGTGCCGTTCTGTCCAGCACCAATAGAAGACGAGGCCTGGGTCGGCGTGTTGGTGGTGCCGGTCTCATGAGTTTCACAGGGTGGATTGGAACATACCCTCTGAACTGTGCCGTTCTGTCCAGCACCAATAGAAGACGAGGCCTGGGTCGGCGTGTTTGTGGTGCCTGTTTCATGAGTTTCACAGGGCGGATTGGAACACACCCTCTGAACTGTGCCGTTCTGTCCAGCACCAATAGAAGACGAGGCCTGGGTCGGCGTGTTTGTTGTGCCCGTTTCATGAGTTTCACAGGGCGGATTGGAACACACCCTCTGCACAATGTTGGTTTGCCCACTGTCCATACTGGAGCTTAACTGCGTAGCCGTATTGGTCGTGCCTGTCTCGTGTGTTTCACAGGGAGAATTTGAGCAGACCTGCTGGACGCCACTGGACACAGTTGAAGTGTTTGTGGTGCTCGTCTCGCTCGTTTCACTGAGAGGGCTGGAGCAAAGAGGCATCAGCGTAGAGGAGATGGCGGCTTGGCTTTTGTTGGAGCTCTGCACTGTTCCCGTAAGGTCGGAGCCCATGTTGGAGCGGGCAGTAGTGGAGGTGTTGGTGGTACCTGTGCGGAGATTCTTCGGCCGCATGGTGCCTGGTCCAGCACTGCTCTCTGAGACGGGTGTTGCTGGTTCTGAACCAGAAGCTGAAGATGTAGCTGCCGAAGATGTTGTCTTGCTGTTCACGGTTTCCATCTCTTTAGATCCCATGTTGCAGCTGGCAGTGGTGGCTGTGTTGGTGGTGCCCGTATCATGGGTCTCTGAGGGTGGGTTGGTGCAGACCTGCTGTGACCTGCCCATGTTCACAGAGGCGGTGGTTGCAGTGTTGGTGGTGCCCGTCACGTGCATCTCACAGGGAGGGTTGGAACAAATCTGTTTGGTGCCAATTTTGGCAGAAGCCGTTGTAGCCGTATTGGTCGTTCCAGTCTCATGGGTCTCACAGGGAGGGTTGGAACAAATCTTTTCGGTGCCCATTTTGGCGGAAGCCGTTGTAGCCGTGTTGGTCGTTCCAGTCTCATGGGTCTCACATGGAGGGTTGGAACAGACCAGCGTCACGGTGGTAGCACCTTCGCCAGCACCGTCACCAGCATCAGCACCAGTGGTGGAGGGCTGCTCTGAGGTGGGAGAGGCCATGATGGAGACAGGAAGATCCTGTGCAGGCTGAGCCTCAGCACCACTTGGAGTCGTGATCAGGGTTACTTGAGTAGGTTGGGCTGCCGACTAAGAGGGAAAAAAAACATTAGGAAGTATTTTAATTGTGCGTACCGAAAGGAATGAATAAATAATTGTAAATAACAATGATTTATATGAAACAATATAAAAATATTATTATTACTTATGTTCATTTATACAAATTAAAAATATATACAAACTATAAAATTAGATAATAAATTATAATTACTTCAGTAGATGCTTATTTTTTAATTAAATGTCTTTGAATGTTCATCATTACTGGATCAGAAATGCAGCTAAAAGTGACATGTAGTGAAATTCTATTACAATTTAATAAAAAATATTATTACAATTACTTAATTTAAAATATTTATTTTCTATTTGAATATATTTTAAAATGTAATTTATTCCTGTGATGCAAAGCTGAATTTTCAGCATCATTACTCCAGCCTTCAGTGACACGATTCTTTAAAAATCATTCTAATATACTGATTTGCTGCTCAAGAAACATTTCATATTATTATCAATGTTGAAAATAGTTGTGCTGCTTAATATTTTTGTGAAAATTGTGACTTTTTTTCTCACAATTCTTTGATGAATAGAAAGTTTAAAAGAACATTTAAAATAGAAATCTTCTGCAACATTATAAATGGCTGAATAATAGTATTAATTTCTTCTTCTTTTTTTTTAAGTGACTCACTTGTATTGTAGCGGTGGCGAGGTTGGTCTGGGCAGCAGATACAGTGATAGCTGTGGGATTGATCACCTGGCTGGACAATGTGGCAATGGAAGCAAGTGTGGTGACTGGAGTCACCAGGCTGGCATTAGCACTTGCCACATTGGCCCCTGCCACGCTACTCGATACAGTACCAGTTACTGTACCCAGAGTTGTGACTCCTAAAATACAGAGAGGGCATTATTAATGAGGTAATGATATCAAGAAAAAATACTTCTCTGTAATTTGCATAAAACTACACTACAGAGTTTACAATCTGAATATTCAAACCCGTGGTGCCCTTGACAACCAGTGTGGTAACAGTTGGTTTTCCAGCAGAGACAGTGCCTGGTGAAACCAGACGCACTCCACTCATAGGCACAGTGCGCAGGATAGTGCCTGGCTGTCCGGGCGCCCCCTTCAGGACCACCTGAGAGCAAATAAAATATTCATGAACCACTTAAAACACTCAATCAAAACTAGATGAGCTTAAAACGATGCATGCTTATGCCGTGACTGTGGTTTCAGAATTCAACTGGGCCTCACCTGTGTGACCCCCTGTTGTCCTGCACCTGCTGTCAGCTTTGGCACAGCTGTTATGAATTTCCCCGGAGCACCTGTGCCAGGAGTAACAACCTTAGTGGTGATAATTGTGATGGGGGACTTGACGCCAGGACTGCTAGTCAGACCTAGTAATGAGACCGGAAATAACATCAGGAAATCATGTAAGCTTGCAACGATGCATAAAAAAACTGATCTGTTAGTTAGATATAAACACGAGGTTGTGCGGTTTCACTCTTGAGTGCAAAAGTGAGATACAATTGAACTAAAATTGATATTACAAATGAGATGAACAGTCAATTGTGAGATGGACCTGTTGCTCCTTGTTGGATAGCAGACATGGGAATGGTTTTAATAATGGTGGTTCCTGGTTTGTTGGTGGTAGTTGGAGAGACTGTGCTGATTCCCAGGATAGTGGGTTTGGTGCCAGTCCCTCCTGCCTGTGTAGTTGTAATGATTGTGGTAGGCTTGCCATCAGCAGATGTAACCAGTTTCAGGATGGTACCAGCAGGCAGAGGAGTCTTTGTCTAAGAAAAACAAGAACAAAATCAACATACGCTACTTATACTGGGAAATTCACAATAAATGTTTCTGAACAGCAAATCAGAACGATTTCTAAAGAATCATGTGACACTGAAGAGTGGAATAATGGCTGCTGAAAATTCAGCTTTGCCATTACAGAAATAAATTACAACAAGTACAAGTGCAAATGACAATAAGCTACTTATTCTAGGTAATACACAATATAATTTATATTAACCCCTTAGCAGTCCTGTAAAATTTGCCTAAAAAGGCATACCCAAAGTAAATAGCCTGCTGTTCTTGAACCATTTGGAGTATATGCATGATTTTTTTGGTCTCTTTTGAAAGGTGACCCTCTGACATTTGTTCCTGAACAGAACAAACCTCAGAATCACTGTAAGTCTTACTGGTATTGAGTAATAGAACTTTGAACACACTGAAAAAGGAAGGAAACATTCCGCCTACTTTTTTTTTGTAAGCAGATGCCAGCAGATGATTATAGCTGGGAGCTATTAGCTGGAAAACACAATGGGATCACAGCATGAAGCCTTGTTGGTGGTCTGACAAAGACACTGATTGTACCTGCTGTGTTGATTGTATCTTAAAATGGTATGCATCATTCGAATCACAAGAATGTCAGCTGTCCAAAGATATGTGACATGTTTTTTTTTCTTTTTTCGAGTTGTTGTATTGGTTCCTTGCCACTGTCGACTTTGGCTTGCTTAGTTGGGGACACCTAATTTCCGACTTGATTGAACTGAACTAAGCTGAGCTGGATGATGACATCACTGAATCAATGATGAACTGACTTTAACTGGAAAATTTAGTGTTTTCTATCATCCTCTTGCATTATCGACACACTATTGTCCTGTTTAATACTGTAAAGCTGCTGTGACACAATCTGTATTGTATAAAGCGCTATATAAATAAAGGTGACTTGACTTGACTGTGTGATGAAGTTAACCCTCAAAAACATGCAGTGTACCGCGGACGTTACAGAGGAACACTAACAGGTTAAGAATACATAAGATTAGGTAAGAAATGTACATGCTTAAAATGAGCAGCAACACTGACTTGTATAAGAGTGACAGGACTGCTTCCAGCCTGCCCCGTGACTGCAGAGGTTTGTATTGGTTTGGTCTGGACAACAGACATCACCTTCCCAAGGCTGGAGATCTGAGAACAGTTAAGGTTTATTACTTAAGGATAACCAAAGTCAAATGCTTAAAAAAAAAAAAAAAAAATTGCAAACCAACATGAGGGCAATTCATGAGAGAAGTCATATAATGAATCATTAATTGTATTCCTTATGGAAAGATTATCTCATTGGTGCACTTAATATAGGTCACAGTAGAACAAAAAAGAGAACAATTTTAAAGTCTCTTCGTGCTTGGGATTGCCCATTATTACAAACTTCTTTGAATTTATGTCACTATTAACTCATTTTAAGTCCAGACAATCTGTTATTGTTTTTTTTTCCCTTACCAGAGAACCGCTGCCACCCATTGTAATGGGGCTCTTAACAAGGGTTATAGTTTTGGTGACTCCTCCGACCATGGTGGTGACGACCTGAGCCTGCTGGGCTACGGTTACTGTGCCTGATTTGTGCACAGTGATGATCGGCCGAGTCGGAGTGTTAGGAGAAGAGATGGTGGAAGTGCCGACCTGAGCAGCAGCTGTTTTCAGCATTCGGGTCGCAGGATTAGTAACCTGGAATGGAAGTAGGAACAAAGACATTAAATCACAAACAGCTACAGGACAGGAAGTGGATAATCTGGTTAATTTAAGTCCGGAAGGATGTGAGAAAGGGAAGTTGCCGAGACATTCTGTTTTTCTGTTTTATTATTTTAGAACACATTAGACAGACATTTTATCCAAAATACTTTTTGCTTACCTATAGTACAACAATTGTCTCAATCTCAATTTAATAATAATAATTATTATGAAAAAGATGCCGGTAACACTTTACAATAAGGTTCCATTAGTTAATGTTAATGTATTAATTAATATGAGCAAACAATGAACAATACATTTATTACAGTATTTAGCACTTCACACGCGTATGTATGCTCGCGGGCGCGAATTAAGAATCCCAAACGGCTGCATTCGAGTATTCAAGGCATTTTAGGACACAACATCGTCACGTAAGTAACTTTAACGAATGTTACAGTATTCACTGTAGTTGTCCGCTAGTAAAAACAGTTTTATCAGTCATTATCCGTGTATGCCATTGTTTTGCGTTTACTACAGTTCAGTGGATCAGGAGGCGCTGGCTGGTGTGACTGAGTGGAGGCGGGGCTAATTTGCATATTCATAGATCTGCGTATAGTAAATGAGGCAAGGGTGTAGAGTTACATTCAAGCTATTTTAAGGCATGAGAAAATTATTTTCACAAGAAAAAACATTGTCATTTTGATGATCAAAGATAAGTTTTAAGGGATACAAAATTTGACCACAGGGGGACTTTAATGAAAATACAGTCATTCATTGTTAGTTCATGTTAATTCACAGCACAACTTTTGATTTTAATAATGCATAAGTAAATGTTGAAATTAACTAAGGTTAATAAACGCTGTAGAAGTATTTTTCATGCTTAGTTCATGTTCACTGAAGTAGTTAACTAATGTTAATTAATGAACCTTATTGTAAAGTGTTACCAAGATGCCTAATGCCTGAATGGTTCTCGGACAGAATAAGCTGGAGATCTTACATTGTTTAGTCAAAGGTCTTGTTATGCAAGACGACACTTACCATTATGGGTGAAGCTACTTTGACAGTAGCTGGCAGAGTTGTGGATCCAGGAGTCACAGCGACGGTTTTCACGATGGTAGCCCCGGCTGGAACATTTAGCACAGTGGAAGAGGGTGGGATCTTCTGTGTGGCAGCTGCAGCTGCAGCCAAAGCAGCCATGCCACTCATCTGAGGGCTGCTGCCAATTGGCTAGAGACCAAAACAGTGTTCCAAAGGGTTTAAATGCAAATTCAACATGGGAAACTAACATTTGAGACAGGGCTGAACGATTGGGGGTAAAAAAAATTGAATTTATATTTTATACAGTATATGATAAAAATTTTGATTTTGATTTTTAAACTCCAGGTTTGCCGTGTTTGTTTGTAGGCCTGCACAATTTGGCCAAAGATATTGTGGCTTTATATCAATACAACAACAACCACAACAACAATAATAATAATAATAGTTGTTGTTTATTAATAAATTATTTGTAAATAATAAAATGTAATAAATATTCAAATTAATACATTAAAAATGCATTTAATATATAATAAAATGCTATTATTATTATTATTACTACTACTAACAACAATAAAATTAATATAATAATTTCATTATTTATTAAATTTTGTTTATAAAAAACGATTATTAATTATTTACATAAAATGTAATAAACTACTAAAAATAATGTTTTTATTACAAAAAATTAAATATTGAATATTACTATTGTAATATTTTACTGTAAAATTACAAAATTAACAATTAATATCCTCATTTTCACACTGGATCATGAGATTGCATGTGTGTAAAAGAACATTGCTGCACTTCACTCTAAAACCAGCAGTGCATATACTCATTTAATAAAAAAAAATAAATTAATAAAAAAAATCGCAGTCTTGTTTGATTATCACAATAAGTCAAATCGCATTTTCACTTTTATTTAAAGTAATTGTCCAGCCCTAATTTAAGATTTACACTGATATTGATTATCTACATACCGTCCCCTGGGTACTCTGTGCAGGGACAACCATGCGGACACCTGCAGGAAGTGATGTAACTGTGACTGGGGATTTTCCTCCTGGAGTGGCCTGACGCAAGGTAACGACTGACGTCCCAGGGGAAGAATGAGGCACTGCCACTTTAAGAATAGCTGGGAATGAAAAGAATAAGTTGGGTTAGGTAACGTCACAATTATTAATATTATTCTTTACAGAAACTGCAGTCTGCCGATTGCAAAAACCACAAAGTCATTTGTACCTGGTCCACGGTGTGAGGCTGCAAGCGGGCTGCTTGGCATGGCGATGGTGGGGGAAGGAACTCGTGGCACCATTGTGACCCCAGACAGGGGCAAGCTCTGAGCTGCAGGAGCGGCAGCAGCGAGTACCGGACTCTTAGGCGAGTTGACGGGTACAGACAGGGTGGGGTTGACCGTTGGTGATGTGGCAGCTGTTGCAGCAGGGATGTCGTATTTCTGCAGCTGCAGCAGGTAAGTGTCAGCAGTAGGCACTGCCCCCCAGCTCACCTCCAGAGAGTTGGTGTTGGCACGGACCAGCTGCACACGTGATGGAGGCTGAGGACGATCTGTTAGTGAAAGGCGAGATTTTAAACACTGTCTGAAATAATAGTATTATGATTAAGTGTAATAATTTGTTTGTTGATAATTTAGCACCATGCCAGGTACTACAGCCATATTCATGCTGGAAAACTAGTGAAAAATAGAAAAGGTAAATATTCTAAACTTTATATAAACAACAAAACTTGCGGTGTAGATACTATAGTTCCAGCGTTTTTCAAAAAACGCAGATTGGGCTTGTCATTTTCTGAGGATGTAAGTATTTGTAATGGGTTAAGTGTATTAAAGGGGTCATAGTATGCCCATTTTCCACAAGTTGATATGATTCTTTAGGGTCTTCATGAAAAGTCTGTAACATAGTTTGGTTAAAATTTCTCAATGGTAGTGTAAAAACACCTTTTTTTACCCTGTCAAAAACAGCTCTTTTCGGATCAAGCCATTTTTGTAGCATTTTCGTTTAGATGTTAATGAGCTCTGCTGACCCCGCCCCTCTCTTCCGAGCCGCTCTCAGAGAGACTGTTTACTTTAGCTGCATTCATCGTGAAACTTGCTAATTAGCACATTATTAGGAAAGGCGATTTGCAAAGATTCATTACAAAACATTATACTCACTTCTTCTGTAGATGAGGCTGGATCATGAATGATTCGTGCGAACATAGACGCATTTTATGTAGATCGGGGGCGCATTCCCTTCTGAAACAAACGTAATCCACTGCGAGTTCAGCGGCTCAGATGTCGGAAGTAAATGACGACTGCTATGCTCATTATTACATCCAACAACAGAACACCTCAATCGCTTGTTAGGAGTCATTTTTGTCTACATCTGCTCCGGCGGTGAAACAATGGCGGACTGATGACAGCTCACTCAGGGCGGAGCTAAGGTAAGACGCCAGTCCAGTCTGTGCTGAAACGCTACTTAGGAGTTATTTTTGTCTACATCTGCGCCGGCGGTGAAACAATGGCGGACTGATGACAGCTCACTCAGGGCGGGTCTAAGGTAAGACACCAGTCCAGTCTGTGCTGAAACGCTACTGTCAATTAGGCCTGTCACGATAACAACCTTTTGCTGTGCGATATATTGCCCCACAAATAATTGCGATAAGCGATATTTCATTTTAAAGACCATTTTATGCCACTGAATATATAATCATAATGTAACAGCATAATGCAAGAAGGCCTACACTTCCAAATGACAACAAACATTTCATTTTTAAGAATAATTAGATCATGGAAATAAATATCAAAATATTAGATACCTTAAAAAACTTGAATAAATAGTAAATAAACATTTTCTAACGAAAAGTGCAAAGTAAATTAAGGGTGCACACTATTGCTGAAAAACACAATCACTACTGAGCAGTCAGATGTCCGTACGCACAGAGGCACAGATCCCTAAACAAGACCATATCTGCAGATGAAACTTTTTTGTAGAAGTATTTTTTAAATTTGAACGAGCACCTCATGACTACACCACGTTATGTACGAGAAGCTGCAAAAGACACAAGCGCAAGTGGAATGTACAAAACATGGTGACATTAATTTTTAAGTAAATATAATGGGCGATATATTGAGTCACCAAAAATGATTGAGGTCATGTACATATATTGCGCGATAAGTCGATATATTGCTTATTGTGACAGGCCTACTGTCAATCAAACTATCGTGGGAGTGGCCTGTCTGTGTGACGTCACACAGACAGGCATCGGAGATCGGCTCGATTTGAGAAAGGGGAAAACATTTAACCAGATTAAAAAAAAAAAAACACTGGGTGGATTTTTATCATTATAGGGTGGTTGTGTACACATACTGCCAACACACATTTCAGTTCAAACAACTTGTAAAAGTGCATGTAGCATCCTATGACCCCTTTAAAGCTTCTTTTACACTGAGGTATCAGTTCAACTCACCTGTTTCCAAATACCACAGATCTTTGCAGCAAACTTGGTTGTTCCAGGCTTTGCGGTAGCCGTCTCTTCCACTCCAGACGTACAGCCTATTGTTTATAGCCACAGTGCAGTGTCCAGCTCTGGCCCTTGGGATATTATCCTCGAGCGTGTCCATCAAGATGGTCTCCCAAGACATTGAGTCTGAAGGAAATAAAGGTTAAGATCAGCAGTGTTAAACATATAAGCTCTGTTCTGAAACCTAATGAGCTATGAATGGAGGCAGCATTTTAAGGGATAAGAGGCTGTTCTCTTTTAAAGACCATTGGCTTCTTTGTTTAACCTACCTAGATTTAAGCAGGCCAGTGTGTTAGTGCACTTCCATTCCTTCTCGTGTGTCGCAACTTTGACATCATCCATGACCAGAGGAACCCAGCCACCAAACACAAACATCCTAGGAAAATATGAGACCAAAGTTAGTCAAATCCAAACTAACTAGACAACTAATTAGGTCAACATGGTTCAACATTTTATTTTTGTGATTACTATAAAATTAAAAACTGTGGGGCTGTCTTTAATTTTATCCACTTCCAAAAAGGAAACCTGTTTCAGAGATGTGCAAGCTTTACATTTGATAAAAGATCAAGACAAAGATTTGTTTTAGTGGTAAACCAATACAGATTTTTTTTTGATGGCTGACGCAGACACCGATATTCAATATAAACCCGATAATAGATATAACACGCTTTTTAGCTACATTTAGGTACACTATGTAGTTAGCATTTAGCTAATTGTGCTATTTATTTAAAGATAATAAATAATATGCTGCAATTAAATGTTTATTTTCCATAATATTTATGAAATTAAAAATAATGAATTTACAAATAAAGTAATTGTTAAAAACACATTTTTATGCAGGAAACAACTTCATAGCTCACAACAGCTGGATTCGCTAAAGTTTGCAAGGTTTGTGGAATTAAATATTTACTGGATATTCAAAGACTTGTTTAAATGCTTTAAATGTGCATTTGCTAAATGCTGACACTATATTTGAAAGTATTACACCACTAGCTTTACTAATATTAATTAGTAACATTATTATACATTACTAATAACAAAAAGGTAAACATTATAATACTTTTTCCATACACAGTTTGCTTTAATTTAATCATTTAATAGACTCATAAGCAAAGGCAGTAAACTATTGAAGACTGAGAATGGGAGCTCCTTTGCATCTGAGATCAGGTGCAGTTTCAGCACAGTCAAAATAAAAGTCCAGCTTCTGACACTCATCAGCCAAACAGGAAAAATTCAAATGCCAAATATCGTAAAGGTCAACTACTAATTTGTTTCTGTGGAATAACATGGACAACAAGACTAGGAATGCATGCTGAAGTAACTCTGAAACTCTGAAAGTCATGCCAACTAAATCTTCACAAAATAAGGCAGTGCTGGTTTCTCATCAATTTCCAATCTTGAAGACAGTCAATGTTTAAATAAACACTGTATGTTTAAACAAGCTTGAGAAAGTTATAACTTACTTGTTGGTTATAGTGGTGGCAGAGTGGAGACTGCGGGGCAAAGGTGCCGCACCACTTATGGCAGGTTTGTTCCAGGTTAATGTATCTACAAAACAAAGCACACGGTTAACGCATGTTATTCAATGTTATAGCATGGACATTTCTTGAACAAATATTTTAAGCCAATACTTTCTCTCACCTATGTCTAAAGTCCAGAGGTCTCCAAGACGGCAGCCACTCATGCCGCCATAGATGATGAGACGAGACTTTTTGGATGTTTTCTCTGTGTAGACAACAGCAGTGTGGCTCTCACGAGGAGGGGGAAGCACACCGTATGTAATGGGGATGTCCCAGCCTGCTACGTTAGACCCCGGGCGAAGCTCGAGGGTGTAGAGGTCATTCAGGTATCTGAGGTACAAATGGAGAAACAATTTAATTGCGGATCGGCTGCTCAAACATTTAAGAATTAGTTTGAGCATAAACAGGCTTTTACCTGGGAATATTGTTTTTGGGATCCTCACTGTCATTTGCCAATCCACCAAACAAATAGCATTTGTTTCCAACCAGGGAAAAGCTGTGGCCCAGGCGAGGACATGGCGGTGGGCCATTCTTGGGGGCTTTGGGCTTCAAACGTTTCCACTCCCATCTACTGGCCTGTTTAAAGTATTTGACAGAAATTAATGAATTATTACATACGTTAGGGCTGATACTATAAAAAAAAAAAACAGTCAACCTTAAAGTGCCCCTATTATGCCCTTTTTAAGGTTCCTAATATTGTTTTGGGAGTCTCCTACAATAGAATTACATGCATGCAAGGTCAAACAACACTTTTTTTCTCTCAAAATATGCATTTAATATCACCTCATTTTCCAGTGATTCTCAAACGATTCGTTCGAAGCAGTTCTAAGATGCAGTCTCTCTAAACCCCTCCTTTCTGTGAGCCTACTCTGCTCTGATTGGTCAGATGGCCCAGTCGGTTGTGATTGGTCTACTGCGTACAGCCAGTGTCTGAAACAATACGCCCATTGCCATAGTTCCATATTTTGAACGCTCGATAGAAAATAAACATCTATTATTTATCAAAATTACAGGTTGTGATTCAGTGGAGCCAGCTGGTCCAAATAAACCATCTTTCAAGAGCAAGCGTTTTGTGAATCCCGCGTTGAACTCCCCGAGATTAGAGAAGCAGTCGTCAGTACAATGACCTGTTTGTGGGCGGGGTCAAGTTTTCACGGCCGGCCAACGTAGAGCATTATGCAAATGTGTTACCCCGTGATGTGTAGCCATCACGGAAGTAGGATTTGAATTACTAACGACTCGTTTAGGCTATACAGAGTCAACTCTTAATTTTGGGAGACGATAACTTTATTTATCGTGGACTTTCAGCTTTATAACTTTGCAGTTCGTTTACATTCACATTAGGGCTGGACGATATGGCCAAAATTTATAACACGATATATTTCTTAATTTCAGTCGATACGATATAATTCCGATATCGATATATGAACACTACTAAAAAAAGCCTTGTAAAAACGGCCAAGAACGCCCACAACAGATGTCTGTGCATACAAACTTATGAAAAATTTATTTGCCTATGACACCTCATATAAAACCATATAATATTTAAATTATATATGTATAAAAAAACAGCACAAATAAATTAATATTCACCTTTTATTTGTATTTAGCCTTCATACAAACAAGAAATGTGAAATCACTGTCAAATAATCGTCTCAGACTCACTTAATTAATATTAATATCTTTAACTTCAAACTAGGCTAACATACACTACCAGTCAAAAGTTTTTGAACAGTAAGATTTTTAATGTTTTTAAAGAAGTGTCAAAAAAAGAAATCATACTGACTCCAAGCTTTTGAATGGAATAGTGTATAATGTTACAAAAGCTTTTTATTTCAGCATTTTTATATTCATATTTTATAAATGCTGATCTTTGTATCTTTCCATTCCTCAAAGAATCCTGAAAAAAAAAAGTACTCAACTGTTTTAAATATTGATAATCAGCAAAACAGCATATTAGAATGATTTCTGGATCATGTGACACTGAAGACTGGAGTAATGATGCTGAAAATTCAGCTTTGATCACAGGAATAAATTACATTTTTAAATATATTCAAATAGAAAGTAGTTATTTTAAATAGTAAAAATATTTCAAAATGTTACTGTTTTTGCTGTACTTTGGATCAAATAAATGCAGCCTTGGTGAGCAGAAGAGAATTCTTAAAAAAAATAAAAAAAATAAAAATCTTACTGTTCAAAAACTTTTGACTGGTAGTGTAGGCTGATTATTCTTATAGATTGAAACAAATGTGCTTCAGCCAGTATAAAGAGTATGAAAAGTGCTGTGAGTTGCTGCAGAAAAAAAAAAATAGCAACAAAAACATGCTGCTGGAGGCGGCTTATTGAAAATGCAATCTGATTGTCTGCCAGCAGGAGTCAAACGCCACAAATAAATTAATGCATGGGAAACACTGGTAATGTATATCGAAATATCGGAAATGTGTTTAAAAATCATATCACCTTTATTGAAAAAAATTATATCGCGATACATATTGATATTGAATTATTGTCCAGCCCCAATTCACATACAGCTACATTACACACTGCATGAAAGGCAATAATGGCATAATAGGGGCACTTTAAAGATAATGCTGACAGACTTACCTGTAGTTCATAAAGATCATTGCTGTACTTTCCATACTCAACCATGCCCCCGAACACAAGGAGTCTGGTGCCATCGCACACAAATCCATATGCGGCACAGCCGGGAGGAATGTCACCCCGGACAGCAGGAATAAACCACTGATTGGTGGCTGTTGAGAAACATATAGTTGTGTCATTGTGGTTTTGATGAATAAAGCTCTTTCTGTGCTGTGTTGCAATGCACCATGTTCTTTTATTCTGTGCAGAACAAGGTTGTTATAGTTAACTAGAAGCATAAAAATATGATGTTGCTTGAAATTACTAAAATATAGAATAAGACTTTAAAAAACACTTAAAACTTATTTTAATTCAGGTATTTGCCAAGGCAACATTTCTTGTTTTCATTTAGTTTAACTTGATGTACTAAGTGAAATATAAATATATAAAATAAACTAGTTCTATTTTTTTACATATTTACTAATTAATTGATAGCAACTTCTTGAGTCTGTAACTAGAGATGCACCGATCGATCGGCCAGGGATCGGAATTGGACGATTTTCCTCATGATCGGCCCGGATCGTTGACCGGCCGGTCAGTCTCACTTCTCCGATTCCGAGCCGATTTGTTACCAGCGGCACAGGCAATAACGTCAGCCGCGCATTCTTCTCTCATTAAAAAAAAAAAAAAAAAACTTTTAGATAAACATTTGTACTTTTGATAGCAACTTCTTGAGTCTGTAACTAGAGATGCACCGATCGATCGGCCAGGGATCGGAATTGGACGATTTTCCTCATGATCGGCCCGGATCGTTGACCGGCCGGTCAGTCTCACTTCTCCGATTCCGAGCCGATTTGTTACCAGCGGCACAGGCAATAACGTCAGCCGCGCATTCTTCTCTCCGACGACCCCTTCTCTCTCACACACGTCTCATTCGCTCCGGTTAAATAGTGCTTG